CTCCCTCTCTCTCTCTCTCTCTCTCTCTCTCTCTCTCTCTCTCTCAGTTCCCACACTCTCTGATTGATTGATTACAGGTTGTAAATTTCTCTCGTCCTCCTCAAACCAAGTGAAGGTTTCATGTTTCAGTCCGAGACAAAGACCTCTTTCATTTCTTCTCTTATTTATCTCACAACATTTGTTCATGTGTTTTTATTAAAGTGTAAAAACGTAACTTAATGTGTAGGTTGAAATTATACAAAACAAATCTTTTATTCTAGATTTGAGGTTTGTTCATATTTCATCCAGACTCTGATTGTTAGAAACACGATGAACAAGATTTTTCTTTATCTTCTGAAGCTGGATTCATCCTGAGACGTTCGCACACTTCAACATAAAGTTTCAGAGAAAGTGTGAAATGAAACGTTGTGTTTGTGATCAGATCTGTTTCAGCTTCTTCCCTTCGATTGAACCACGATTCATCCTGAACTCTCTCACCAGCTTTTCAAATCATCTGTGGTCACATGAGCGACTGGAAAACAGAAAAAAAACAATCTTCACATCTCATTTAAAAAAAGATCTAATTCAAACTTCACATTTAAACAGGAAGTGACATCAATAACTTCCTGTGATGTTTCCTTCTTTGGGTGTTTTCCATACGAACGAGTCTGGACACGGACGAGCCGGTGAACGAAAACTCATCTTTGATTGTTACGAAAAAGTTTGAGAGACTTTTAATCAGCAGGATTTTATTTTGAAAAGCTCAGGATTAAATCATCATTGTGTGTGCGTGTGTGTGTGTGTGTGTGTGTGTTGTTGGGTGGAGGGGGGATAGACAGGTGTTGGAGTTCTGTTAGACTCATCATCACCGTGGTAATGTCCTCCTGGTCGTCACGCCAACTCATCCTCCTGAGGACGTTCCCACGATGGGCGGGGTCGAAGGTCAGCACCTCGATGGATGCAGGCAGGAGGAGGAGGAGGAGGAGGAGGAGGAGGAGGAGGAGGGTGGGAAACAGAGGAAGAGTGAAGTTTACACTGATGTGAAGGTGATGTCGGCTCAGCTTCACTTTTCATTCTGACGTTCTGAAACATCTTGTTTGAGACGAGAAAAAACGAAAAGAAATGAAAACGACTTTTTACCAGAAAAAGAGTTTTGTTAAGTTTTATTAGAATGAAACTTTTATTTTTATATTAATTTGTTTTTCAGCAGAAGATTCTGGATCATTACATGAAGCATTAACTCCTGTAAAAAAAAATTCCATGTTTCTACTGTGAACCACACACACACACACACACACAGACACACACACACACACACACACACACTGTGCTTCCTGTGTCAGTGTTGATTGTGGTTTTATTGTGTTGTGTTGTTCACACTGTACTCTGGAGTGTGTGAAGGTGAGTTTGTTCAGGGGACGACTCTGGGACTCGTCTCAGTGTGTAAATCACATTTCTTCTCTTTCTATCAATCACTTCCTGTCCGGACGACCTTTGACCTCCCCGGTTGCAGCAGCTGATTTTTTTTTTTTAAAAGGGGGGGGGGGGGTCAGCAGCTCCGTCACGATACACTGTGTGACCTGTGCCAACACAAAACTGAGTGTGAGTGTGTGTGTGTGTGTGTGTGTGTGTGTGAGAGGGAGACAGAGATAAAGTAAAGGCAGAACAGGAGGGCGAGAGAACAGACTTGATTCATGTCTTCGTCTTTATGCTTCCTGTTCCTGTTTCCTCTTCCCATCTTTCACACACACACACACACACACACACACACACACACACACACACACACGCACACACACACACACGTCATGTGGGATTGAGCACAGACAGACCGTGTGTATCCAAAACAAGCTGGGAAAGAGAGCGAGGGAGGAGAAGAGGTCAGAGTTCGTAGACGTGATGGAGTCATGACAGGTGTCATGTGTTTCTTCTGTGTGTGTTCTTCTCTCGCTCTCTTTCATCTGCTTCAGTTAAACCTCTCTCTCTCCCCCTCTCTCTCCCCCTCTCTCTCCCTCTGTCTCTCTCAGGTCTGGGACTCTCATGCTCAGTTTTCATGTGTGTGTGTGTGTGTGTGTTTGACTGGCAGCTAATCATTAACGAGGAGTGCTCCAGCAAAAGAAAAGAGAGACGATGTCAGAGAGGGAGTGAAGGAAAAGGAGAGAGAGACGCAGAGTTCAAGCCGGAGCTGAGTCACTTGTTTCAAGAAGAGAAGTCGAGATAAGACGAGAAAAACAAAGATACTCGAACTAGAACTTCTCCACCAACGACCAACAGTCCTCCGTCTATCGTCCAGTTCTGAACATGAAATATTTATCTGTCTCCTAACATATCATATCATATCTGTCTCCAAACATATCATATCATATCTGTCTCCTAACATATCATATCTGTCTCCTAACATATCATATCTGTCTCCTAACATATCATATC